TGGTCCTACTACTGATGTACAATATTGGTGCCCTCTGGTCCCCTTATTGATGTTCAATATAAGGTGACCTCTGATCCCTCTACTGATGTACAGCAAAATATTAGGTGACTACTAGTCTCCGTACTCATGAAAAATATCGGGTGCCCTCTGTCCCTATCTGATGCACAATATAAGGTGTCCTCTGGTCACCCAACTGATGTACAATATAAGGTGAACCCTGGTACAACTGCAATTATCAATATGAAGTGACCTCTCATCCCCTTACTGATGTTCAATATAAGGTGACCTCTAGTCCCCTTTCTGGTGTTAAATATAAGGTGTCCTCTGGTCCCGCTACAGATGTACAGTACAAGATTAGATGACCACTATTCCTCGTACAATATAAAATGACGTCTGGTCATCCTTCTGATGTTAAATATAAGGTGACCTCTGGTCCCCCTACTGATGTACAATAAGAGGTGACCGAACGTACCCCTGCTGATGTACATATGTAACTTCTGGAACGAAAATAAATTTTCTTTTCTAAACTTTATTGAAAATAAATCATAAATAATATAAACACTAATATTTATTTTCAGCACTATTTTCTTTCAATTCACAGTTATTTTCACTTTAATCACAAATTTCAGCACGTTTTTCTTCTTCGCTGTCCGTTGTAGATCTGTCCACATTTCTTCAGAAGTTTGCTGGCGCTGACGGATCCATCGTTGTAGTTGTCCCAAAGTTGGTTGATGTGGCACTGTAGAAGTCTTGTAGTCTTTCATTGGTATCTCTGGAGTTTTCCCTCGCTGATCATCTTAAGTTGGTTCGGGATGCTGGCGGTTTCCTTGAAGAGAAGAATCACAAGCACATAGAAGGGCAGGCTGGACTTCTGGGCTCTCGTGTTGATGTGGTGGTGCCATCCTTCGACGTCGTTGTTTGTCCTCACAGCCATACAGTAGACGGTCCACGATGATGGTGTCCAGATGTCGCCGTTGCTCCAGGTCCTCTCGATGTAGCTGTTCAGCTGTATCAGTCGCTCACAGGTGACAGTCTCCTTCAGTGTGTTGAACGCGACAGGAATCTGTTCCTCTGGCAGAAATGGCAGGGCAAGCAGCTTCCTCATGAACTTGAATACACATTTTTTTCTTATTCAAGAAGGGGTTTTATAACTGCTTGTAGTCCTTCTTTCTTTTCATTGGCATGAGGACGTAGATCCCTGCAAGCTGTTTCATGTCGTCTCCGGATCTGTCAAAGAAGTGGATAGACAGCAGCTGCACAAAAGGCTGGGAAATGATCTTGAAAGTTCCTTTGATGTACCACATCTTTGCTGAAGCAATGTGTTGCAGTTGTTGATCTGATGCTAAGATGAGGTGTCGATGATCTCCAACAGTGATGTCTCCTCTGTAGAAATCCGACGAAGTGTGGCGCTCCAGGAATTCCAAATCAAACTAAAAACAAAAGAAAAATGTATTATTCCGAGATTTTATAACTAATTTTGTATGTTGTAATTATTATTTATGTATAAATTAATTCTATCATGTGGAATTATTTTTAAACCTTGAAAAAAAAAATAACGCAAATTTGTAGGTATATGAAAATGTATTAAGTTCACTAAAATAAATTTTAAAATAAATTCATACCTCGAAGTTCATGTCCTTGGGTTCCTCTGGTCGATCAGCTTGTCGTCGTTTGTTGGCTGTCTTCATGGCATTGATGAACATTGGATGAGCGAATTCCGGTTCTTTTGGATCTGCCATCTCCTCCATCACTCTCTCCACGACAGTTGGTGCTGGTATAAACAGGTCGTCTTTTTCCGTCTCGATGATCCTCTGTGTCATCTGCACTGCCGTCAGTATCCCGGGTTTGGAGGCGTGGGTGTGCTCTTTACTGATGAAGGTGTTCCCTTGTTGGTTAACAATGACTGAATATTATGTCTTGCTGTTACTTAAGCTGCACCACCAGAGAATGGATCCGCTCTTGTTCTCCTTCTTCACCACATAAGAAAATCCATCACTTGACACAAGTTTCCTCCTCTCGCGTTGTGAAGTATTCTCGGTGACTTGGAAGGTGATGACGGCTTCTCTGGTAGACAGTTCCTGGGGTGAAGTCTGGTCTTTGAGTGATTCCTCCTCTGGATGGTGTGGCTCGGCGTGGGGAACGATGGGGATGTTGATGGACTCCTCAACTATGCGTGTGCTCTTGGTGTCTGGGAGAAGACGTGAGGGGAGCTCGCTGGTAGTGGTGACCACGGAGTAGGGAATTGTGGGCTCTACACACACGACACACTGAAACACAACTTGTCCTTGGCTTCTCATCCGCCGATACTCCTCACGTGAGATGCCTGAAAAAGAAGTATGTTTTAGATTAACTTCGTCAATATTTGCATTTATGTGGTCATTATGCCTATAGCATTGTGCTTAAAAGAGGAGAAGATAAGATTAATATAATTTTTTTCTATGAAATTATTTATTTTTATATATTTTTTTTCTAATCTGAATTACATATTTATATGGCTATTATGCCTACAAAATTGTGCTTAAAAAGATGAGAATATACGATTAATATAATGTTTTTACTGTTGAAATTATTTTTATGTAATATTGTACTTTTTCTAACCTGAGTTACATGTCCTATGTTGTTTTCCGTGGCAGGAAATGCAACATAGGATCTCTTGATGTTGTCCGAGTTGAAGACAGCATACAATGCACAAGTCAGCCATGACTGAAACTGATGACAAATTCTAGTCATTTCTTCCTTATATAGGGACCATGTCAAATTATTTAATTTGTTTCCAATGTAAGCTTTCTTGAATTCTTCATCACCTTTAAGTTGCTTCGGAGTTTCGATACACCAATTTTTGATCAACTGTATATACGTAATTTTCGAGGCTTGCGTGCTCTAATTCTTCATTACTTTAAAGCTGCTTTGGAGCTTGGACAAGCCAATTATTGATCTACTAAATACATGTAATTTTCGGGGCTTGCATGTCCTAATTAATCATTACTTTGAAGTTTCAAATTAGGCCTACTTGTGAGCTTGGGGATTTCATTAAAATTCTGTCTGTTTTTTAGTTTTCATAAATTTCTTTAAAGCCGTCGTTGATGGAATATCATTTATTTGTCATTAAATAATTAAGATTGTTCAAAACTTATAAAATATAAAAAAAAATATTGTACTTAATTTACCTAGACATATTCTACAAATATAAATTTAAAACAATATGATAAATCAAAATGCATTTAATTGCTCTATTTCATAAGAAAACAAAAATCTAAGGAAATAATAAATAAATCTTTTATACCTACACCGTGTTTACTTTGTATATGTGTGAAAAAAAAAACACCAAACAAATAACAACATATTACATGCACAATCATAAATATTAATTTTATTTTATTTATAATAAATATTAACTATAAATTTGACTTTATAATTAACTTGAATATTAACTATAAGAATTTAGCGATGTACTTATATACCTTTCCGACAAAAGCGCGAAAAAGAATACACCGCCAAATGTAATACGTTTACAGTATATATTGTATTGAATAATATATGTCGTTTTTTCCTTGCAATACACAAGAAAAAATAATGGGGGCGAGCTGTCTTGATTGGGGGTGAGTTGTCCTAAATTGGGGGCGTATTTTCGGTCACAAACTTTCTTAGTTCGCCAAGTGTTCAGGTTTTTGATACGTTAAAAAAGGATGACTTGATCGCATTAGGTTTGCATTTTGGGTCAGATGTTAAATCCTCTCAGAAAAAGCAAGACATTAGAATTAAGGTTGCAAACAAACTAGTAGATGAAAACATCTTTGAAAAATACGATCTTCCAGAATATACAGTTAGATCAGAGTTAGGCTCTTATAAAATGGCAGACTATCAGTTTCAATTAGAGTTAGAGAAAATGCGATTAGAAAGAGAAAAATTAGAAAGAGAAGAGCAAGAAAGAGACAGAGAAAGAGAAAGAGAAGAACGAGAGCGTGAACGGAAATTTGAATTAGACAAATTAGAAAGACAAGAGCACTTTGAGTTAGAGAAATTAAGATTACAGCATAAACCAGAACCCTAAATTTTTAAGAATGAATTTGATGCAGCAAAAAATATTAGGTTAGTTCCCGAAATTTCAAGAAAAATCTGTAGACAAGTATTTTCCCCAATTCGAAAAAGTCGCAGAAAATCTTAAATGGCCACAACACGTTTGGTCAACAATGTTACAAAGTGTACTGGTTGGCAAAGCAGCTGAGGTATACTCTGCACTAGGGGTAGCTGAAAGTTCAGACTATGAGAAGGTCAAAGCAGCAATATTAAAAGCATATGAATTAGTACCTGAAGCGTATAGACAAAAGTTCAGAAAGTATAGAAAGTTTGATAATCAAACATTTGTTGAATTTTCACGAGAGAAAGAAGATTTATTCGATCACTGGTTTAGATCTAAGAAACTTGATAAAACTTTTGCTAATTTGCGCCAAGTCATCCTTTTAGAAGAGTTTAAGGAATGTGTTACTCAAGATTTGAAAACACATCTAGAAGATAAGAATGTTAAAACTCTTGAAGAGGCAGCAGTCATATCTGATACTTATGCTCTGTCTCATAAAAAGAATTTTGTATCAAGATCTCAGACTAGCAGTAATTCTACAAATTCAGACACATATAAAAAGAGTGGTTCAGGGTCTCAGTCTTTCACAAGTTCCCAGTCTCCATCCCAAGGTGGTTCTAAGTCCGGTCCAGGACGTTTTGAAGGATCTTCTGGAATAGGGTCGCTTCCTACTTGTAGTTATTTAAGA